AAAAAAAAAAAAAAAGAAAGAAAAAGAAAATGAGAGTACATGTGTGTGTATTATTCTGTATAATATTCCTGTGAGAAAATTTTCAGTTCTTTCTACATTTTTACTATCATGAATAGTGCTACAAGTTGAGTATCCTTATCTGAAATGTTTGAGACCAGAAATCTGGCAGGTTTTGGATTTTTTCAGATTTTGGAATATCCATAGAACCTCCATAGTTGACCACCTCCTTATGTTGACCTAATTTTTATAGGCTGGATAATGCACCACATGTTCGTATCAGTTCAGAAGGCCCAGTTTCTTCTGTTGACCACCTCTGTATGTTGACAAGTTTGTGACCATCCCTTAGATGGTCCACTTACAGAGGTTGTATCATACTTGCATTATACTTAGTAGCTGAGCATCCCTCATCTAAAGTCTAAACCTCCAATGAGCATTTCCTCTGAGCATTCACATTGAATCTCAAACAACCGTGGAGCACTTCAGATTTCCAATTTGGAGTATTCAACCCACATTAACATTCTTGTACATAGCTTAAGGAATCTTTTGCTTGACACTATGGTTTGCATGCCCCTTTAAAAATGATGTTGAGCCGGGCACAGTGGCTCAGGCCTATAATCCTAGCATTCTGAAAGGCTGAGGAGAGTGGATTGCATGATTCAGGAGTTGGAAACCAGCCTGACCAAGAGCAACACCCAGACTCTAAAAATAGCCAGGCATTGTGGAGGTGAGGCAAAAGGATCACCTGGGCACAAGAGTTTGAAGTTGCTGTGAGCTATGACACCACAGCACTCTACCCAAGGCAATATAGTGAGACTCTGTCTCAAAAAAACAACAAAAAAGAATAACACTGTTTTCTTTGTAGGAAGATGTTTAATGGTTGCTTCAATTTCTCTAATAGATTTTTTTAACTGAAATTGAGCAAAACTAATTCTCTAATAGATATTTAAGATTTTTACTTCTTCCATTTTGTCTAAATTTTTTAAAATGCTGGCAAACAGCTGACAGTATTCACTTTTAATCTCTAGTTTGTGTTCGGATGTACCTTTTTCATTCAAGATAATTTATTGTGATCATGATAGTATCTTTCTTCTCTTTTTTTTTTTTTTTTGCAGTTTTTGGCCAGGGCCTGGGTTTGAATCCGCCACCTCCAGTATACGGGGCTTGCACCCTACTCCTTGAAGCAACAGCTTGAGACTCTATCTCCAAAAAAAAAAAAAAAATAGGCTCAGCACCTGTAGCTCAAATGGCTAAGGCACCAGCCACATACACCAGAACTGGCAGGTTCAAATCCAGCCCAGGCCTACTAAACAATAAGGACAACTACAACCAAAACAAACAAAAAAAAAGACCGGGGTGGTAGGGCCACGCCCGGTAGTCCCAGCTACTTGAGAGGCTGAGGCAAGAGAATAGCTTAAGCCCAAGAGTTGAAGATTGCTGTGAGCTGTGACGCCATGTCATTCTACCCAGGATGACAGCTTGAGGCTCTGTCTCAAAAAATGATAATAATAATAAATAAAAATTAGTCACTTTTATTTGTATCACATCTTCTTTTTTCACATTTACTCTGATCATTTACTGATTTTTTAAATTAGACACTTAGCCTATTCCTTTTATAACCTGAATATTTATGGCTACAAGTCCCTTTCCCCCTTCAATTCAAACTGTTTTTGATTCACCCCGTAAGTTTTGATACATT